TCTCCCCTCCCCTCTGGTTTCTGTTCTGCAGAAGAAGAAGGGGCCTCTGGTTTTCTTCAAAAACCAAACACAGACCGAAGTGAAGGGAAAGAAGAAAAAGAAAAGAAAAAAAAAAAACCTCCAAAACGACGTCGTTTTGGAGGGTGGCAGGGTAGTGCGATCGAGGATCCGGATTCCACCCCGATCCCTCCAATTCCCTTCAACCTCTAATTAGTTCGATTTTGTGCGACTACAATCCCAAGGCACGATGCGAATTAGGTGTGTTTTTGTGAGTGAGTGTAAGAGTGTATGTTGTGCCAGAAGGGATAAATCTAGTAGGTGATTCAAATTTTCACGTACAAAAAGAGAAAGTCGAAACTTTGGAGAGCTATCAACCCTTAAAGATGGATGGAATGTTATGGACCACTTAGTCTCATCGAAGAGCCTTCTTTGCACTACCTTCCTCATAGAAGCCGTTGGGATGACCCCGAATCAAGGGGTTTAGTTTGATTGAAGGTTACTTCTTTTCATTTGTCGTGTAATTTTAGTTCTAAACTAACTTTTAATATTTTTCTTAAGAAGTAAAAAGATTTAATCATAGAGGGGTAACTTTAGGGCATGACCTTAAGGAATAGAAGTTATAGAGTTGAACACAATAGATCCACTTAATTATCTAGTGGTAAGTTATGGATTCCTATACAGCTAAGAATTTAAATTAACACTCTTAACCCTTGATACGTTTATGCAGAGTTAGAAAATTTGTCTAACTAATTACATATGTTCTCGCTGAAATAATTGATTCTAAAAAGAGTTAAACTTGAGACTTTAGATTTCTACCACACACCAGGCCCATAGCATTTTTTTAAAGTAGTTTCTTAATAAATAAATAAATAAAAACAAATTATATCGTGGTTCAAAACATAAATAACTAATTATAATTCATTATATTTCTTTATATTTTCAAACACTCAATATAAATCTACTCTTGCAACCAATTATAACTCGAAAAATGAGCCGTAGCTCGAAAATCTTGGTTCGAAATTGGCTCGAATGTAGTTTTGGGCATTTTGGGTGGTCTGAAACAGAGGAGAAAGAGGGAGAGAAGAGAGGAGAAGAGAAAGAGGAGGGGAAGAGGGAATGGAGAGAAGAGAGGGCCCCTCCACTTCTGCCGACCCCTCTGCTTCGTCGCAGCACCACCGCCGTCGCCTCCGGTCCCGCCGAGCCCCTCTCCTTCGTCGCAGTACTACTGCCATCGGCCGAGCCCTCCACTTCCTCCTTCCTCCTCCTCTTTCCTTCTCTTCTCTTTCTCTACTTTTGAAATTAAATTCGAATCAATTTCAAGCTCGACAATTCAAACTGCGCAGCAGTTCCGTTATAACTCAATTGGGACACAAGATGACAATGATCCAAATCACCAAAAAACTTCTAAGAAAATAGAGGGTAATAATGTGGTTGTAAGAAAACAAAGAGTAATAATGTGAGGTCGGTGCGTAAAACTGCGAGCAAAAAGGTGTGAGGCCCACGCGAAGTCCACAGGAGGAGACCACACAAAAACCGAGTGCCCACTTTCCGATGTTCTTTTTTTTACTACTACTGATCGGCTGGTTTTCTGAGCTTAGAAGCAGCCGAGCCGAAGCTCTCTAGCCGAGTAGCTAGCTAGATATCTCTCTAATTCATGACAGGACAATCTCACCTGCTCTCATAGCACATCGAGTGAAACTGTTCCTCGCAGCGCACGTGATGAGTTTCTAGAAGACAGTAGCGTTGCTCTCGTGTCCTCCTCCGGGGTACGTGCACCGTCTGATCTCCTCCCAAACCTCAAAATCATATCAACCCCTCTCCCACCGCACTTGATATAGCTGTCTTTGAAATGATTTTTCTAGGTAAATTTTTATTTTACTTATGATGGATAAATTATAAATAAATTTATTTACAATACAAATTATTTTTTATAATTTTAAAAATTATATCTTATTTTTAGAATTTTAAATTTTATAACAAATAATTTATTTTTATTAATATACTATTTACTCAATTAATAATTTTTAATAATGTCATACATTTATTTCAATTAATAATTCATATAATTTTATTGTTGCATAGTAGAACAATTAAAATTTTTATTTTTTCAGTTAATTATATTAAATAAAAAAATTTGACAATAAAATATTTGTAATTTTTCAAATCATATAAGGCAATCCATATTTTAAACAAACCTCAAAGAATATATTTGTAATTTACCCACCTCTTATTATCGTTACGTATTTGAAAATAATTACATAATCTTTTTATACTTTGTGAATTGAAGTGTATCATTAAACATTTTGTCCAACATAAAGATTTTGTATATTCATTTTCAAATTTTAAGGGGTATACGCTCATGTTCAAATGTCAAAATTTCAAGGGAACGTGCACTTATTTTCAAATTTTAAGAAGGTAAATTACACATGAAATAAAACACAGTAAGTTAAAGTGTATTTCTTCTCCCAAATAAATGACGAAATATTTATAATTCACATACTTAGATTACTTATATACATGAATATTTTAATATTTTACATTAATGAGAGGAGGGTGATTCGCATATAAGCCAAGCCATAATAGAATAAAGTGTAATTTGTCCATAAATTTTTAATTTAAAAATATTAGAGACTTTAAATAAATATTTTATAGGGAAACTATCACATAAATGATATTTCTATCTTCCCAAACACCAAAAATTTTTTATCTCATAAAAACCTACATCTAATAAAATCTACATAAAAACTCACTTCCCAAACACCATCTTAGATTACTTATATACATGAATATTTTAATATTTTACATTAATGAGAGGACGGTGATTCGCATATAAGCTAAGCCATAATAGAATAAAGTGTAATTTGTCCATAAATTTTTAATTTAAAAATATTAGAGACTTTAAATAAATATTTTATAGGGAAACTATCACATAAATGATATTTACAAAAAAATAATTGCAAATCAATGTTAAACTTTATAAATAATTAAAATCATATGATTTTTTTTTTTGAAAAATAAACTAAATTTTAATTTTTCCTTTTTTATACAATACTTACATAGTAAAATATGACTACAAAAATCTTTTTGATTAATAATTTATTTACATAATTATTTGTTCTCAAATTTCTCAAATGAGACTCTCATCTGTAAGGCCAAGTTCGGAAAGACTAAATAAGTCTATATTTTTTATCTTTTTATCTTTTTTAGGTCACATCAATTAACATCTTCTTTTTACTTTTTTACATATTTTTTTATAAAAATTAAAAAAATACACTTATTTAAAATATCGCCTTAAGAGTCTCATTTGGGAGAGAGAATTTGTATGGATAAATCATTGTTATTTTTGCAAACGATTCCTAATACAAGAGGTTGGCACGTGCGAAGGCTTCTAGAGCCTTTTTTTGTCTTTCACTCCCCCAAAAATCAGAGTTTTGGAGGGTGGTCCTAGTCTCATTGATGTATGCCCTTTTTGTATTTTATATATATATATATATATATATATATCTTTTGCTTTGAATTTTAGTTTTGGGTCCATATCACAAAGTGTATAAGATTTTAACCATGTTGGAAAGCGACAAGGGCTTCTAGAAGCCTTTCCTTGATTAGTCTCATTTCATAAAAAAAAAAAAAATACAAAATTAAAATACGAAATCATCATGTTTTTAAGATTAAATTAATAATTTAATAAAATACATAATTTGATGTTTGCTAAAAAAAATTCACTGTGTTTGGTTTGAATTTTTTGGATTAAGTTTTTTGAAAATTGACTTTTTAAATTTTTGTGTTTTTTTGTTTTTAGTGAATATTTTTTTAATTTTAAACATTTTTTTTAACTTTTTTAGATGCACCTTACTTAGATGTATTTAAAAAATAAAAAAATTGTAAAAAAATATTTTAAAAAATTAATAAATACATAAAAATATAAAAAAATATACTGAATTCTTGTATTTTTTTTATATTTTTGGTATTTAATGAATTTTTAAAAGATTTTTTTTATAATTTTTTTACTTTTTAAGTGTATTTATGTTAGGTGTGTTTAAAAAGTAAAAAAATTACTTAAAATATTTAAAAAATTCAGTAAAAACAAAAAATGTAAAAAATAAGAAAATAAAATTTTCTGAAAAGTATTTTAAAAAACTAAAAACCAAGCAAGGTGATTAGAGTTCAGACTTATAATCCATTCAAACAGAACATCCTCTGTATGGAACACTATTGAATCTCAAAAGGTGGGATGAAAAACAAAATGAAGAATTAAAATTATGTTTAAACAAATTAGTTAAATTTCAAAATTGATAAGATTTTCTCAATTTTTATTTTGAAGACTTGGTTAAAAATCACTTTTTTTACTTTTAATATATTTTGAGTCACATCACATTTTTATTTTTTTACATGTTTTAAAAAAAAATTTGAAAAAATAACTTTTAATCTATTTTTCAAAAACAAGCCATAATCCTTAAACAATTAACACGTGAAATAGGATACAAAATCTAAAAATAATGTTAAGCCTAGCAAATCTATTATGTTTAAACAAATATAGCCAAAGAACACAAAAAAATATATTATATGACTGACATTTATCTTGAATTTAATGTAAATTGTTAGGATCAAAGACACCCAGAGAATTATCTCACACACACAGAGAACACAATATTTACGTGGCTCGGCTCAATGCCTACATCCACGGACAAAAATGAGAATTATCACTAAAATGTAGCAAAAATACAATTACAGAGGAGGAGATGAAACTCACTCAACTCACAGCTCTCACTCTCCAATTTCTGATGATACAAACCCCTCCTCACTCATCTCAATTTATAACCAAGAGAGGAGGAGTAGGTGAAGTGCTAGCCATAATTGGCCAAGGTAGTGCCACCCTCACTATCTTCCTTTAGTGAGTTGGTGTAGCCCTCCACCACCTTCTTTTACAACATGGTGCTACCTACACTATGTGAATGGTGGGCTCATTACCATGTGGGTAGTGGATGGAGCCAACAAATATTTCCCCATACAGCCCTTTCAAAAGAGAGCATACGATGCTTCAAGAGACACTCAAACCCATCACAACTCACAATCAGTGGAAGCAATTCAAATGGGAACAGCGAAAACTGGATCAATACAGATGCAGACTGTAAGTACACATATAGCTACCTTTCCCAAAATCTATTTTATGCTCCAGACTTCATGGTGATTATAATTTGATTATAGAAACTAAATTCTGAGCCCACAGAAGTTGGCATTTACACTATCACTTTTGGACTGATGAAGTTGTACATCCTTCAACTTCTATTCTTGATAAGGACAAAGGAAAGACTTAGTTTATGGGTTCTGTCAGATATAATGATCTCCTTCTAACTGGCCTCATGTATTATGGATTTTATTATTCGAGCTGTGCAACTATTTTGGTTATTAGTCTGATTCAATTCTATTATTTGCACTGCAGACTTCGTGCTGGAGCTATAGAAGGAAGAAGCGCTCTTAAAGTGCGGTTATGATATATTGGCATTAAATAGTAATCATTTGGCATTATGTTATAATTTTTAACATAATGCAGTCAGACAATGTCCACTAGGATTGTGCCCTTCAACACCCACAACCTGCAAAAATGCAATCATTTGGCATTATGTTATAATTTTTAAAAGGAATATTGAAATGGCAGTCGAGTTCCTATTTCTTACTTGACCAGGAAAAATTGAAAATTGGCTCAATTTTTGTAAGTCAAGACGCACCCGTTGCCCTCCAGAATGCTCAACACTGTCAGAGAACTAATAACCATATTTAAACAGCAAAGGTGTAGAGATAACTAATAGCATCAAAGGATAAGAAGTAAATGCCACACCTAAAGGTGTTCAACATGTACCATCCAAATGAAATTCATATCCCATCTTAAGATTTATCTAATTGGTAATTCCGATCATGAAAGTTTAGTAAAGTTAAGCTACCAAGGAACTAGGTATATTGAGGCAAAGCATTGGCCAAAATCAAGTGCCATATGCCCAACTGGGGAAAGCAGTAGACAGTAGTTCCCTTGACAACATCTTGAGCACATTGTCTAATAAAAGGACTTTTTAGCTTACACAATAACGAATTAGCTTACACAATTAATGCAGGACACAACACAACATTCCTGATGAACGCCTAGGGGGAAACTAAAGGACAAGACCAATAGTCTTTACCTGCTTTGCAGCAAGACAGGTTTCTCCTTCAAATGGCCTTCTTCTTCACAGCAGATCATGCCAACTGCAAATACACTTTTCTGAAATAATAGGTTCCATGAGAAGCATAGATATGTTGTTTGATTAGCATACAAACTCAAATCAAAACTAAATCATATTAAAAAAATGCCATAACAATTTGGGAAGTGCTCTAGTTGTACCTGAATTTCCATTTTTTATTTTCTTTCAAAACTACCCTCATTTAAAGGCTCTCTCCCACTCCTCACACCAAACAGTGTAAATTCTCCATTTTTTAAGATTGCGAGTGTGTGCGGATAAGAGAGAGGTAGAAATGGAGCAACTGTATTACCTGTGAAGCAACTGTAGGGTCAATTGGTTCCTCAAACAGACCAGAAGCAACAAGTGCTGTTGCATGCTTTCTAATGCGATTTTCGAGGAAATTGAACTAGATCATCAAAAAGACAAAGTTAGTACTTCCCTGTTTGGATGAACAAACCCTGAAGCTGATGTGGATTCCTCCATCATCCAGAAAGTAATCTCTGTTTGAAAAACAGGCTTTGCTGTGAAGTCCGGACTGCTCAAATTAGCCGGAAAATCACTTCGGATTGCCAAAATAAAAACTGCAAATTTTTGAAAGTTTATTTGCAAAATCTGACCGTACGGATGTGTCCGAAATATTCCAAATAGTTGGAAAGCACTATTGGATCACCCAAATCGGACCTCAAATGGCTTAGATGAAGCCAAAACAATTTTAACGGTTCAAATCGGCAGAATCTGGTGCGCCTGCGAAGCACCAGATTACTCCTCCGGTTCTGCTGACGTCAGGTTGACGTCATCGGCTCAGTCGGCTTGGTCAGCGGCTCCGGCTCGGTCAACGCGGCTTCGGCTCAGGCGGCTTGGTGCGCGCGCGTGTGGCGCGTGCAATCACGCGTCGTCTTCCTCTGTCCGCGCGTGGGTGAGACTGGTATCACGCGCCGGGTGCCTGAACGGCGCGTGGAGGCACGTGTCACGACTGGGATTCACGCGCCAACTTCCAGGGGCGCGTGAGGGTGCGTCCGGCCTCCGTTGGGTGTCTGCTTTATATTTATGGACTCCTCTCGTCGAGCCCTTGCTCCTAGTATGCTCAAAAACTGATTTCGAGCAATACGATTTCTGGGCAGTTTCGAACAACACGCTGTTTTTGTTCCGAAACGCCACCAACGAGGCTCTGATACCACTTGTTAGGATCAAAGACACCCAGAGAATTATCTCACACACACAGAGAACACAATATTTACGTGGTTCGGCCCAATGCCTACATCCACGGACAGAAATGAGAATTATCACTAAAATGGAGCAAAAATACAATTACAGAGGAGGAGATGAAACTCACTCAACTCACAGCTCTCACTCTCCAATTTCTGATGATACAAACCTCTCCTCACTTATCTCAATTTATAACCAAGAGAGGAGGAGTAGGTGAAGTGCTAGCCATAATTGGCCAAGGTAGTGCCACCCTCACTATCTTCCTTTAGTGAGTTGGTGTAACCCTCCACCACATTCTTTTACAACATGGTGCTACCTACACTATGTGAATGGTGGGCTCATTACCATGTGGGTAGTGGATGGAGCCAACATAAATCACATTTAAAATAATATTTCAAGCACATAATATATATATATATATATATATTTTATTTCAATTTTGTACACTTTACATTACTCAAGATCATGACGAAGTCAATGAGAAGGCACTTTTTGTCAATCAAACAGGCATATTTATTTATTTTAATCCTTGATTATTATTTATTAGCTTGATACAGTTTCTGGGGTTACATAAAAGAAACCTTTCCACATTAGCCAAGCTCTCCATTGGCTATGATTTGATAAAGATAGCAATGCGAAAGTTAAGGTTAACCACTGACCCTATTCTAAATGTGTGTATAGTCAGAGTTTAATATATATCCACAAAGAAGAGGAGGAGATAAAAGATGATTGGTCCAAGTATTACTATTTAGTCAAAAAGTGCTCATTAACAATTAAGGGCAATGGTAATATTACTTTACGTGATATTATTAATTAGAATAAGATTAGGAATATCAAATTTTTTATTAAATATTTCATATGAGATGGGTCTATATAAGTGTGAGGTTTATATCTATATGAAATATTTAATATCTCTCTAACTCATGACAGGACAATCTCACCTGCTCTCAAAGCACAGCGAGTGAAACTGTTCCTCGTAGCGCACGTGATGAGTTTCTAGAAGACAGCAGCGTTGCTCTCATGTCCTCCTCTGGGGTACGTGCACCGTCTGATCTCCTCCCAAACCTCAAAATCATATCAACCCCTCTCCCACCGCACTTGATATAGCTGTCTTTGAAATGATTTTTCTAGGTAAATTTTTATTTTACTTATGATGGATAAATTATAAATAAATTTATTTAAAATACAAATTATTTTTTATAATTTTAAAAATTATATCTTATTTTTAGAATTTTAAATTTTATTACAAATAATTTATTTTTATTAATATACTATTTACTCAATTAATAATTTTTAATAATGTCAGACATTTATTTCAATTAATAATTCATATAATTTTATTGTTGCATAGTAGAACAGTTAAAATTTTTATATTTTCAGTTAATTATATTAAATAAAAAAAATTGACAATAAAATATTTGTAATTTTTCAAATCATATAAGGCAATCCATATTTTAAACAAATCTCAAAGAATATATTTGTAATTTACCCACCTCTTATTATCGCTTCGTATTTGAAAATAATTACATAATCTCTTTATAGTTTGTGAATTGAAGTGTATCATTAAACATTTGATCCAACATAAAGATTTTGTATATTCATTTTCAAATTTTAAGGAGTATACGCTCATGTTCAAATGTCAAAATTTCAAGGGAACGTACACTTATTTTCAAATTTTAAGAAGGTAAATTACACATGAAATAAAACACAATAAGTTAAAGTGTATTTTTTCTCCCAAATAAATGACGAAATATGTATAATTCACACACTTAGATTACTTATATGCATGAATATTTTAATAATTTTCATTAAATCGTGAACAATCTAACAATACACTTTTTAGTTCAAAAACCATAAGGAGATTATGTAGTTATTTTCAAATGAGAGGAGGGTGATCCGCATATAAGCAAAGCCATAATAGAATAAAGTGTAATTTATCCATAAATTTTTAATTTAAAAATATCAGAGACTTTAAATAAATATTTTATAGGGAAACTATCACATAAATGATATTTACAAAAAAAAAATTACAAATCAATGTTAAACTTTATAAATAATTAAAATCATATGATTTTTTTTTTTGAAAAATAAACTAAATTGTAATTTTTCCTTTTTTATACAATACTTACATATTAAAATATGACTACAAAAATCTTTTTGATTAATAATTTATTTACATAATTATTTATTCTCAAATTTCTCAAATGAGACTCATCTGTAAGGCCAAGTTTGAGAACACTTTTTATCTTTTTATCTTTTTTTGAGTCACATCAATCAATATCTATTTTCTATTTTTTTAGGGCATTGATTTAGACCCCCTTAAAACACTCACTCCCACAACCCCCTCACACATATGGAGGTTGGGGATTGGATGAGGAAAAAAAAAAAGTTAACCAATCAAAACTAAAGAGGATCAAAGGGGTGACCCCCAAAGAGGATCTCAACCTTTATTCATTTTTTTACACATTTTTTAATAAAAAATTAAAAAATACATTTATTTAGAATATTCTAAACAATCCCTTAAGAGTCTCATTTGAGAGAGTGAATTTGTATGGATAAATCATTGTTATTTTTGCAAACGATTCCTAATCCAAGAGGTTGGCACGTGCGAAGGCTTCTAGAGCCTTTTTTGTCTTTCACTCCCCCCAAAAATCAGAGTTTTGGAGGGTGGTCCTAGTCTCATTGATGTATGCCCTTTTTGTATTATATATATATATATATATATATATATCTTTTGCTTTGAATTTTAGTTTTGGGTCCATATCACAAAGTGTATAAGATTTTAACCATGTTGGAAAGCGACAAGGGCTTCTAGAAGCCTTTCCTTGATTAGTCTCATTTCATAAAAAAAAAAAAATACAAAATTAAAATACGAAAACATCATGTTTTTAAGATTAAATTAATAATTTAATAAAATACATAATTTGATGTTTGCTAAAAAAAATTGAGTTCAGACTTATAATCCATTCAAACAGAACATCCTCCGTATGGAACAATATTGAATCACAAAAGGTTGGATGAAAAACAAAATGAAGAATTAAAATTATGTTTAAACAAATTAGTTAAATTTCAAAATTGATAAGATTTTCTCAATTTTTATTTTGAAAACTTGGTTAAAAATCACTTTTTTGACTTTTAATATATTTTAGATCACATCACATTTTTACTTTTTTACATGTTTTAAAAAAAAAAAATTCAAAAAAATAACTTTTAATATATTTTCCAAAACAAGCCATAATCCTTAAACAATTAACACGTGAAATAGGATACAAAATCTAAAAATAATGTTAAGCCTAGCAAATCTATTATGTTTAAACAAATATAGCCAAAGAACACAAAAAAATATATTATATGACTGACATTTATCTTGAATTTAATGTAAATTGTTAGGATCAAAGACACCCAGAGAATTATCTCACACACACAGAGAACACAATATTTACGTGGTTCGGCCCAATGCCTACATCCACGGACAGAAATGAGAATTATCACTAAAATGGAGCAAAAATACAAATACAGAGGAGGAGATAAAACTCACTCAACTCACAGCTCTCACACTCAATTTCTGATCTCTCTTGGTTCTCACTCTCTCTCTGTGTCCATTTCAACTCTCCCCTCAACCTCTATTTATACACCAATGAGGGAGAGCCTCATTGGTCACCACCTACCCTCTTCCACTCTCTAGTGGGGTTGGTAGAGTGGGAGAGCCACTTCCATTGGGTGGAGAAAGTGGGCTCTCCAATAGGAGCTCACATGAGGGATTAGTAATCCCTTGGTACTAGTAAGGAGGAGGAAGGGGGATTGGTAAGGAAGAGGTAGAAATTGTATTAGAAAAATAGTGAGGGGATCATAAATTTTTTTATTTTTTTTATTTTTTAAATATTGGGAAGTTTTTTAAAATATAATGTTTAATTTTTTATATTTTTTATTTGTTTTATTATTTTATATAAAAATAATTTAACAATTCTTTACTATCAATCCCCTTACTATTAATCCCCTCATTAATAATGTTCTCACTATTAATCTCTTTATTATAAATCTCTTATATTCTATTTCTGAAAACAAATAATGTTCTCACTATTAATTTCTTTATTATAAATCTCTTATATTCTACTTCTGAAAATAAACGAGATTTTAAGGTTAACCACTAACCCTATTTTCATCTACAAGGCTTGAAAGGGATTCCTATATGTGTGTATAGT